TGTTAAGGGGAATGGGGGAGGTTGGGTTCAATGTAGGAGAGAAATGTCTATATACAGCTTGAGTACTGACATGTGAAATACCAGGTGGATCTTCAGTGTCTGGGCAAGCTGTAGCAGAAAGGCTACCAGATTGATTTGTTCTTGTATGTAGAAGGGGCTGAGATGGTGGTGGTCTGGCTTCTGCGAGTGCTGATTTTTGTGAAGATGTTCAGCTGGTAACCACATTTTCTGGTCCTGCTGATTTGGTAGGCGCTGACTTCTGATTATAGGCCTCTCTGGCCTTCTCCAGGTAATGCTTTAATTCCTCCTGAACTTTATGCATACAGTGTATCCAATCTATGGCTGCAGACTTCTTGGAGTTAGTGCAGGGTTCTCAAACTTTGTGATACTGTGACCCCGAGTGCTGGATGGCGGGGAATGGGGAGCTCACATGCGGCAGCTGCTTTCCTCACCACTGTGTGTACTCCCTGGGAAGTTTGCGGCCCCCTTTTAAGTTGCTCGCAGGCCCCTGGGAGGTCGCAACCCACAGTTTGAGATCCCCTTGTCGGGGCCAAGGGGCTGTGGCCAGCAGCCCGGGCACGTGGGCCGGGGAAAAGGTCGGCACGGCGAACTAGAATTAGGCACGGACGCGTAGAGGTTGATTAAAGATTATTTTACTTACACCGTAGATGGTCGCGGTGCAGGCAGGAAAACGTTCTTGAGTTGCAGTTACAAAAAAACCCCACACACATGGAGTTTGCTAGGCTCCACCGAAGACACACGAGCGGAGTTTGCTAGGCTCCGCTAAATGAACACGAACAGAGCTCTGGATACCACTCACGGAGTTTGCTAGGCTCTGTGGACCGTCCGAAATGAGAGTCTGAAAGGTGACTCTCCACGAGCGCGCAGGGTAGGGTACGTCGAGGGATCGTGTGGTGATGGGGAGAGGCTAGAGGTTGATCAGGCCCCTGTATCCTCCTTTAAGGCACATGCGGAGTTTGTTAGGCTCCACAGCGCGCTTAGAGTTCTTCACGAGATGGATGTGAAGTCCTCCTCCTCCAACTTGGGCGGAAACTGCTCAAGCCTCTTGTACGGCTAGCAAGCCAATCGCTAGCCGCCACGAGGGAATAATTTAGAAACAGCCAATAGTGGGAAACAAATTTACATATGGGTGGCGGGAACTCCTTTGCACCGTGCTTTTCTCTATGCAGCTGAGAATTGCACCATGCAAAGAAAGCTCCTTGTGGCGGGAAATAATTCTGCAGTGCTGAAGCACACACAAAATCATACCCTTTGGGTCATGACACCCCTGAGTTAGTGGGTAAGGTGGGATGCATCTGGGGTGAAACTCATAGTTGGCAAAGTATACTTTGCCTAGTTAAAGCATGCTCAGAGTTATTGTAGGCCAACTCTCCGAGTGCCAGGAGCAGAAACCATTTGTTCTATTGGAAACTGAGGTAACACAGGACATACTGCTTCAAGGCCTCGTTGAAGTTCAGGGAGGTTGCAGACCATGACTGAGGCTGGGTGGGAAAGGGTTGGAGGAGTCTGCTGGGTTTCTGAGGGATCTCTTAGTGCAGGCACCAACATTGCAAGAGGAGACAAAGGCCTGCACCATCTTGTATAGCCATAGCCACCAAAAGTCATGGGAGATTAGTTGGTAGGTCTTTTCAGTTCCAGGGTGGCCTGCTAATGGGGAGTCATGGTGAAGGCAATGTATAGTGAGTCTAGCAGACCTGGGGGCACATAGATCTTACCCAGGGTAAATATGAACACATCCTGGACCTGCAGTTTGACCACATCCTGGACCTGCAGTTGTTGTTTGAACGTTGCCTGGCAATGCAATGCTTGTAAAGTGAAGCTTCAAAATGGGGCTGGGTTCAGATGGTTCCTCTGAGTTTGCATCATACTTGGCCTTCCAGGAGAGGGCATCTACTTTCCCATTCCTAAACCCAAATTGGTGGATTATTTGAAAATCAAAGTGGGAAGAAGAAGAGTCTGTCCATAACTGCCCTTTGGTTGCATGTCTTTGCCCTAGAAGTATTCCAAATTCTTATGGGTGGGAATCTGCTGGGGAATCTGCTACTCCTCAAAAACTGCTCTGAGGGACAGGAGTTCATGGTCAAGGATTTTCTAATTCTCTTCTGCTGCGGTGAGCTTGTGGGAAAAGAAAGCAGAGGGATGCAGATCCTGCTGTTATGAGAGCACCACACCTATTGCAATGCTGGAGCTATCTGTTTCCACCACACACAGCACGGCTGGATCTGTATTGGCTAGCATTAGGGGCAGAGGTAAAGGCCTGCTTCAGGTATTCAGAGCCTTGCTGGGCTTCTGCAAACCAGTAAAACTGGACATTCTTACATGGGAATGTGGTAAGAGGGGCCACCACCACCTGGGCAAATTTAGCAATGAATCTCCAGTAGAAATTGACAAACCCCAAGAATTTCTGTAGTTCCTTCATGTTTTGGGGTGCCTTCCACTCTTGGATGGCCTGTACCTTCTGGGGGTCCATCTTCAAGCCTTCTGGAGATAAGATAAAGCCAATAAATTTGGTGGTGATTTGGTCAAAGGTGCATTTCTCTGGTTTTGGAAAAAGGTCATGGTGGCACAAACTTTTCAGTGCCACCCAGACATGCAGTGAGTATAAGCAATTACAAATCACCCAAGTAAGCAATTAAAATTGATCTAGAAGGTCCTACAATACATCCTTGATAAAGTGCTGGAATGTGGAGAGCTCAAAAGGCATAACTAAATACTCAAAATGCCTGTGCCAAGTCTAGAAGACATGTCGTTTTACATTCATCACCAGCTCTGACTCACAGCCAGTTATATGGTCCTGAGAGGTTGAGCTTGGTGAATATGCAGGCAGGTTTTAGCTGAACAAGAAGCTCTGGGATGAGAGGCAATGGGTACTGGTTATGGATAGTTACCTGGTTCAAGGCCCAATAGTTGACCCATAGCTGAGCTGTTTGAAATGGAGGCTCCCAGCCTTCTGGATGAATAGGTCAGGGGCTTCAGCGGGTGAAGTGGGCTTTCTCATGAATCCCTGGGTCAGGTTTTCCTTCAGATATTTTTTGAGGGCAGCAAGTTTGGACTCTGACATGGCGTAGATGTGTCCTACTGGGATCTTTGTCCCCAGTTGTAGGTCGATAAGGCAGTCATAATCCCAGTGTTGGAGGAGGACCTTCACATTCTTCTCAAATATGTTGGCCTATTCCTGGTATTTTTGAGGCAGGTTGGGTCCAGCCTCCAGAGGCTATACTGCCTGGGGAGCAACAGTGGTCAGGACCCCTGCTTGAATCATAGGGTGGGCAGTTGTCCTGGGTTTCCAGCAGTGCTGCTGACAGTAACCAGATTCAAAGCAAATTTCCCAGGCTTTCCACTAGACCAGAGGATCGTGGCACGTGAGCCAGGGAAAGCCCAGAATCAAGGGGGAATGCAGGGAATTGATCACCCTGAAGTATAACGCCTCACAGTGTCCAAAGATATTCACCTCTGGAATGGTGGTCTCCCATTTCATAGGGCCATAGTTTTTCATACATTAGAGATGAGTTCTAGAGATGAGCTCTCCTATGCTGCGGTGAACAGGAGTTCACTGCTTTGCTGAATACTTCTTAGAATACTCAATGGAGTTGTAGCATAACTTTTATTTTCTTGATGTTTACCTTATCTTAAAGCGTTAGGTTTGTTTTGAATAGTTAAAAAATATCTGGCTCCAGGTGATAAAGAAAAAAATCGTTTTTTCCCGTTTTTACTGACTGTCCTTCAGATGAAAACTGTGTTCTTAAGAAATGAAGAGGGAAAGCATAGGAGGTTTGGTGGTGGTTGAGAAGAAAAAAGAAAGCATTAATTGATTTAAACTATCCTAGGAATAAGGTTTGTGTTGGTTCAGAAACTAGAGCCAGGATATGTGCTTCAGGAAGTAGAGAAAATTGGGCAGGTTGGGAATTGAGAAAGAATTCTCTCTTTTGTTGAGGCTATAAGATCAGAGCATCTTCAAAACTTGATATACTAGTGATATTGCTGTTGTAATGGCTAAAAGGGGATGCCATTCTTTTCCCATGGCTCTGAAAAATATGTGCAAGTAAAACAGGTTTACTTGAAACATGTGTCATGTTACCTGGTCCTCAGAGAATAAAATCTGCTTCTGCTAACAGATAATGAAATTATTCTTTCAAATAAAGTGGTAGAGGCTTGTATTTTTGGTGCCAAAGTTCCTGTCTTCTTTGAAATCTTGTGCTGGTGGGTTATTTTTAGTTATTTGTTTTTGAATAATCTGAGAGGCACTCTAATGAATCTAAACACATTCTGACAGTTATTTGTGAATCCAAGTTGAAGGCTCTAGCATTTAAACTAATAGGATGTTTTGGGAACCATTTCCTATTGAATTTATATACAGATTTTTGTGGATCTTAATGACTTGTTAAACTGTAATCTGTAGTTTAAATATATGACCTGTTTATCTTGATCTCTGAGGCTTGCTTGATCTGCTATATAATTCTAATTATGTGATATTTATTTTAACTGGGTTACACCAGTGGGCAACCAAAGAAAGTGATTGATCAGTTGGATACATTAGTCCATTATATTATTAACATTAACATATAAAGAAAGCATTTATAATCCTATTCATTGTTATGAATATACAAAACTAATCATAATAAAAAAAATCTTTTGCAGTTGCTATTTAGGAGTTGGTTAATTTTTTTCTCAAAACTTTTCCTTTACACATTCAACATAAGCAAAACTCACTTCTAAAAATAAAGTTTAGTGTTGCAAATACTTGTTTTAAAACAATTTCCAAAGTTCTGAATTCTCACACATAATTTTTAGACTACTGTTGGTTGTTTCTTTATCTTCCCTCTAGTGGCTAAAATAGCATCTGTTTTTATATATTTATGAAAGGATTTGACAGAAAATTGTCAGAAAAGTAGATTTAGTGTTCACTAACTATCCTTTCAAAAGAGTACTGAAAACACATTTTGTTACTTGATGAAATAAAACATTCTGTTGTCTTCTAGATTTAACGATGGACTCTTAAATGTGGAAGATGTTCTTACAAGTTTTGACAACACAGGGAATGTCTGTAAGTTAATAATTAATTTTTCTAAGTACAACATTATATTGGTGGAAACCAGCTTTATAACTATTACAATATGAACACACTATACTAGTGATGGACAGCAGTTTTGGCAGGCATGATGCAAGATAAGTTTTGCCCCTTTCCTGAGAGCTGCTCTCATCCACACCCATGAGCGGCAAAGTTGCCCCCTGTGGGGCTTTACCCTGGAGTGGAGCAGTTTAACCTTTCCCTAGCTCTGTAACCACCACAGTTTTATATAGCAAGCAAGGATCTCAAGCTCTGAAGTTGGCAGCAGCTGTAGGGCCCAGGAAGAGTTAACCTGACGCTTGGTGGTGAAAACTGATGCTACCTTTCAGTACTTTCCACTCCCTGCCTCCATTCTGGCATCTTCCTTTACTTGAGCATTGAGGTCTCGTGTGCCACTTGTGGCATGTATGTTGCAGGTTGGCCACCTATGCTCTATAACAATCTAACTTACCTGGGAAGCATTGATACTATGATAATGGGTGCTGTATAAAAGCATGTGGTTAAATGTATGTTTAGGCTGGTTTACAATTTTAATATTGTATACTATATAGAGAAATCTTACCGATGCAAATTATTATTTTTCTGTTATCAACTTATTTTATTTTTGGGTGTAGAGAGAT